GGTGGGGGCAGAAACTCCCCAAAAATGAGCTCCTCCACCTGTGATTCTTCTGTTTTGGTTTGTGTTTGTTCTTAGGATTCTGACTGAACTGCTTTGGGAGGTGGCTGAGCTCTGATATCTTTTCAAAGCCCCTAGGGTGGCTCAGTGGCTCACACCTATAATCCCAGCACTTTGGGAGGCTGAGGTAGGAGGATCACTTGAGCCCAGGAGTTTGAGACCAGCCTCAGCAACATGGCAAAACCCCATCTCTACAAAAAATACACAACTTAGCCAGGTATGGTGTGTGCGCCTGTGGTCCTGGCTACTCGGGAGGCTGAGGTGGGAGGAACACCTGAGCCCAGGAGGTCAAGGCTGCACTACACTCCAGCCTGGGTGATAGAGCCAGACCTTGTCAAAAATAAAATAAAATAAAATAAAATAAAAGCCCCTCAGGTGACTTTGCTGCACAGGCTGGGGTCTAGAGATCTGGGAAGGATCACTGGGGGACCCTGTTCAAATGCAGACCCCATCCTGGCAGATCTGAGGCACACGTGACTAAGGGACCTGGCCACGGCACAGGTCATAACTGACCCGGACCCTCTCCCTTGGAAACGGGTCATAATCTTGGTCCTTCCCTACAATTGCTCTGCCCACCAGACACCACAGTAGGCACCACGACCCACCATCCACAGAGGAGCAGCCTGCTCATCACAGCCCACCATCCACAGCAGGCCACAGCCCGCTCACCACCACCCTCCAACCATGGCAGGCCACAACCCACTCACTACCATCCTCCAACCACGGCAGGCCACGGCCCGCTCACCACCACCCTCCACCCACAGTGGGCCACGGCCCACTCACCACCCCCCCCACCACGCTGGGACATGGCCCACTCATCACCGCCTGGGGCAGCCCAGCTCCACACTGCCAGGCCCTGGGTCTGCAGAGTCAGTGATCATCAGGGGCCTGGTGGTGTCTGGACCCAACCTCAGTCCACCCCTCCTACCCCTGCCATGATCCCACCAGGCCCCCCTTTCACCAGCAGAGAGGCAGGACCCCGAGACCTACCTTCATTCTGAGCACTCGAGGAGGCAGCCAGGAGCAGGAGGACCCCGAGGGCGCTGGGGAACTCCGGGGGGCAGGTCTGCATGGCTGGCGGGACTTGAGCAGCCTCAGGGGCCCCTGGTCCTCATCGGTGGCTCTTGGGACACTCCCTGGGGGAAGGAAAGCCCATGGGTCAGAGACCCCTGTGGCCACCGAAGGGAACAGTGGGAGTGGCTGTTGCCCGGCAGGGCCTGGGAGGCTGGGGGTCCCCATGCTCTTCCCTGACTGGCTGTGCCTGGGATGCCAGAGCCCCCCACCTTCCATGTGCCTGCAGAGGGTGTGTGATGCTGGCCACGAAGAAGACACAGAGTCACCCACGGCACGGAGGGGACCCTCTGCCCTGTGGACCAGCCCTTTTGTTTTCTAATAAATTACTCATAACCTCAGTACGTTTCCCACAGAAATGGGTCATGACAGGTGGAATCTTTGCAGCCACGTCTGACCTGACGTGCTAAGACCGGCTTCCAGCCCCGGCCCCTCACCGATGCCACGCACGAAATCAGTTTCTGTCTCCTTAGGAGCACGCGTTTGACGTCACTGCAGGCCCAGGGCACAGAGCTTCGTCACTGCAACCCCGGAGCGTGCCCGTCTCGTCGTTGGTCCTGTCACTCACAAGGACCCTCACCTGACCAGCACCCGTGGTCCGCCCCCCCAGCCGAGCCCACGCCCGCGGCCACACTCAGAGCCGTCCCTTCACCTCTGAGCGTTCCCAACCCCCAGGTCGGCTTCACCTCGCTGCTCTCCGCGGCGAGCCTGGCTGCTGGGCCGCTTCCAGCCGCGGAGCCTTCTTCTGCCGTCTTGCCTTGAGCCTGCAAACGCGAGGGGTCCCCCGGCTGTGTGGCTCCTGTCTGGACAGGCAGAGGCAGCTCCAGGCCCGGACGCTGAGGGGTGCTGGACCCCGGGACCCCGTCATGTCTCGGCCACGCTCGGGGCAGGGCCCTTCCCTGTGGCCCTCGCCAGCTTGTTCTCCTTCCATGCTGACATCAGGCCAAGGGTGGGCCTCGGGCTCCTGGCATGCGATGGGTGGTCCCCGAGGCGTCTGTGTGTCGGGAGGGGTCTTCCAGAGGTCCCGGGCAAGTGGGGCGTCTTTGAGCTTAGTGTGGCTGGTGCTGCTCGTCTCTGGGCTTTCTTCGTTTGATTGTTTTTTCTATTTCTTTATCCCCCCCCTTTTCTTTTGGAGACGGAGTCTCACTCTGTCGCCCAGGCTGGAGTGTGGGGCCGCGGTCTCGGCTCACCGCAACCTCCACCTCCTGAGTTCAAGCGATTCTCCTGCCTCAGCCTCCCGAGAAGCTGGGACAACAGGCGCCCACAACCATCCTCTGCTAATTTTTGTGTTTTAGTAGAGACGGTTTTGCCATGTTGGCCAGGCTGGTCTCCAACTCCTGACCTCGGGTGATCCGCCCGCCTCGGCCGATTTCAGCTGGTTTTGTGTTGGAACCTGGAATCTACCTGGAAGTCATTTTGCAAAGGGCGCATGCCTGGGTCCACTTTGGCTTCTTCTGGGATTGCAGGCTGAGCCCGGGACACTCAGGCGAACTGAGGGCCCTAAGTCTGTCCCCCCTCCACTGCTGCCCAGACTCGCCCCAGGCCCAGGCTGAAGGACGCTGCTTGGCGGCTGCCCAGCCCCTGGGGACAGGCTCTGCTCCCTTCGCCCTTCCCTAGCTGCCCGCTTTCCAGTGGGACATGGGCGGAATCCTGATCTAGGTTCTAGTTGGAACCGGGAGCTTGGAGGTGGAGTGGAGATGCCCCTGCCGGGTCCTGCCGGAACCAGTCCTGAGTCTCTACAGAGGCCGTGTGGTGGCTGGCCGTGGCGTCCTGGGTCTCCACAGAGGCCATGTGGTGGCTGGCCGTGGCGTCCTGGGTCTCCACAGAGGCCATGTGGTGGCTGGCCGTGGCGTCCTGGGTCTCCACAGAGGCCATGTGGTGGCCGTGGCGTCCTGGGTCTCCACAGAGGCCGCATGGCGGCTGGCCGTGGCGTTCTGGGTCTCCACAGAGGCCACGTGGCGGCTGGCCGTGGCATCCTGGGTCTCCACGGAGGCCATGTGGCGGCTGGCTGTGGCGCTGAGCTATCAGCCGGGCTGCTTTCGGTTTTGCTGCCTTCCTGCCCCTGCCTGTCGGTTCCAGGCAGTCCCCAGATGGGTGCCAGCAGCTCACCACCCTGATGAGGCTGGGAGCCACTGTGGGTGGAAGGTTCTAGAAAGAGGTGTGGCAGCTCCGGGTACAGGGGTGTTCCTGGTAGCTCAGATAAGATCCACTCAACCCTTTCCTGAGACGTTTTTACAGAATGACTTTCCCTCACTTGGAAGGTTCAGGCAGGACACACAAGTATCCCCAGCGCCCGAATGTGGTCCCCCCGAGTGTGGCCAGCAGTCACGTCCCAGCCCCGTGCCTCCTGCTGCTGCCGTGGCCCTGCCTGGCACTGTCGCAGCCCGAGACGGGGCTGGGCCTCCAGCTGCATTTCACAGGGCGCAGGCAGGAGCCTGTCCTTTTGGCACCTCTGCCCTCCCCTGCCAGGCCCCGGGATTCTCCGGCCCAGCCCCAGGGAGCCTCGGGCGGCGGCCCCCAGCATTTCCAGGGTGGGCCTGCTCAGGACGGCCTTTTGTGGGATTTCCAGCCCAGCTGGGAGCTAAGAACTTGGAGCCCGACTCCAGCTTCACACCTGTCCCTCCACGTAGTCCCTGCCTCTGGCCTGGACCCACTGGGCCCGTGCAGGCCCTGCAAGGCTGTGGCATGGATGCCGTGTAAGGGCTGAATGTCTAGGCTCAGCCTCGTGGGCTCCCTGGGTCTTACGGGTCCCTCCAAGGCCACTCCAGGGCCTGCCAGCCCATTCCCGCACCACAGGGGCCTGTCCTCGGGCGGTCTGGGCTGCTGGGGTTGCTAGGCTACCTTTCTGCTGGTCTCTGGAGGAGGCCCATCCCTCAGGGATGCCACCTTGCCCCCAGCCATCAGTGGGCACGCAGCTCCGGCCCCAGACCGACGCAGGCTCTTTCCTCTGCCACCTCTGGCTGATTGTGGCACAGCCTTTGTCCCCAGATGGCTCTGGCCGAGCCAGAAGAGGTCCTGGGGCCCCCGTCTCTGGGGGATGATGGCAGAGGGCAGGCCAAGGTCTCTCCTGGCTGGAGGTGTGGGAGGGCACTGCCCGGTGGCCCTCTGCAGCCGGCCGGCCACCCCCAGGGCCTCAGAGCTGGTCTACAATGAAGGCCCAGGGAGCAGGCGGGTGGGCATTCTACCCCAGGAGCCAAGGCCGGGACACTCCTGGCCTCCTCCCTCCTGCAGGCCCAGCCCCAGGCCCTGGGCAAAGTATGGGCCCTCAGGTCAGTGGCTCCCTGCAGCCTCCTGTTGGTGGCCTGGTAGTGTGTGTTAGCTTGAAGGCCGAGCCCCGTGGACTTCGTGCCCTGAGGCTTTGTGCAGACCGGCACTTAGCGTCCACCAGGACTGGGCCATCAAGGGCTGCTACCCAGGAAACCTCTCAGCAGTGTGGGAACAGGGTCCCTGGCCTTCTAAACACCACAGCAGGCATGGGAGGTGTGGGACACTCTCCTGGGGGAAGTGCAGTGGGGCTGCCTGGCTGGGGGTGCGCCCTGGAACCAGAGCCCTCCGCTCCAGCCTTCCCCCATCACACGTCTTCCTGATGACTGTCAGCGCTTACAGTCACCTCGCAAGTTCCCACGGTGTCTCTGGGACACGAACTGGGAAGAAGGAAGACCCTCAGTCCCGAGGGGGCTTGCCCTGCCCTCCTGTGCCCTGGAGCCCCTGCACCTCTGGGGCCTCACTCGGTGCAGAGACAGGCTGACTAGCCCAGCAAGACCTCAGCCTCCACCTCCTCTGTGGAACCAACTGTGTTCGCCCCACTGTGTACGCACACACGCTTGCACACGTGTGCACAGTGCGGGGGGAGGGGCCGGCCAGGCAGGATGAGCCTCTCACAGGCCCCAGCGAGGTCCCCGCCTGTGGGCTCCCTCAGGGCCCCGCTCATGCCCTGCATACAGAAGGTGCTCAGTCCATGTGGATCTGGACCCTGAGAGCCACTTGGGGACGAGGGTCCCTGTGTGGATGCTCCACAAAGCCCCACTGCCCCCGACGCAGGAGCTCAGCTTTGCACAAGGGAGGTGCCTGCGTCCCCCCAGAAGGGCTTGGACCCGATGCCTGGGCTGGTCAGAGGTCAGGCCCTCACCTGGACCAGGTGACGTGTTTTTGCATGAGCCCGCTGACGTGCCTGCTGGACTTTGATGAGGGCCCAGGGAATAGAAAGTGAGGGGAGGCAGCCTGGTCTGTTCCAGGCAGGACGGTGGGTGAGACCCAGCCGGAGCCCTGGGAGGACACGCCCGTCAGCCTCCAAAGGAGGCTGGGTGCGTGCGAGCGTTCCTGGCCAGGCCGACCCGCCTCTCGGTGTTTGCACCCCTGCTGGGAAAAGTCCCTAGGTGGGGCAGTGACTCCTGCCCTGCTCCTCCCCGAGAGCTCCCGGTGCAACCCACACACCCAGTGTCGCGGTGACGTGTGGGACTCCCGGGAGGGCCTCTGTACAGCGACCTTCAGACATGCTATTTACAGATGTGTGTTTCTCCAAAACACAATAAACCCGAAAGTGTGACAGCAGGACACGCCACCAACCCCAGGGACACCATGCTCCCCGGGGTCCTCCAGAGGCTGGAGGCTGGGCCCGCTGAGGACCTGGCCTCTTCCCACTGCCCCAAGCTCCCTGCCCCCGCAGCCCCCACAGCCCCCCTGGCCCTGTCCCCCGGCATCCCTGGCCCTGCACAGCCACGGGCAGCCACCAGTCATTCCCACCCTCTCCCTGGGGTCCTGCGCCCACACGGAAGCCCCCGCCGGCCACAGAGACCAGGTGTGGGGACGCTGTCACTGCCGGGGGCACACTGCTGAGGCTCAGGGACCATCCCAGGCTTCAAGGCTGGTGCTGGGTGGGGGTGCTGTGTCTCGAGGTGTGGGCTCCCCACTCCAGGCAGCTTCGATGCTCGGTAGAGTCCAGTCCCTTCTGCGGGAAACCCCACACCCACTGCCACGGCCTGGGCGTGAGGGGCGGGCACCCATGCCTGAGTGGCCCCTCACTAACACCCCCATTCCTGTGTGACCCCTCAGGGCTGCTCAGATGGGCTGGGACAGAGGCTGGGGCCCCACCCCACCCTGGCTCAGCAACCTCCCGGGGCCTCACCCACCGTCCTGCCCAGAACAGACCCAGGCCGCCTCCTCTCACTTTCTCTTCCCTGGTTCCTTATCAAAGTCCGACAGGGTCTCCCTGGGCTAAACGCAAGGGGTGGGCCGGTGTGGTCCCTTCTGGAGGCTCCAGGGGGAATCTGTCCCTCTCCCTCTCCAGTGTCCAGAGGCATCTGCGTCCCTTGGCTCAGTGCCCATCCGCCCCGGCTGCTTCCCTCATCTCCCTGACTCCCCCTCCCTCTCCCTCCCTCTCCTGGAGACCCTGTGATGGCATCGAGGACCCCCTGGGTGATCCAGGATAGACTTCCCAGCTTAGCGCCTGTGACCTCATCCCATCTGCACAGTCTGCCATGTAAGGTTCTGGGATGAGGATGTGATATCTTTGGGAACTGGGGCTGATCACAGAGCCCCCTCCCCCAATGCAGTGGGAGACCCAGGCCACCTGGAGACCCCCGCATGGAGGTGAGATTCACACAAGGAGACCTGGTGGGGTCCTGGGTCTGGCTCCTCTCACCCCACGCTCTGCAGTGCCAGCTCAGCCACCCACCTTGAAACCGTGCAGCCTGGCAGCAGGGAGGGTTGGGGCTGCTGGGGGCTCCCCACTGCTCTCCACACCACCCCACTCACCTCCCCCGGGAGGGGATCCCCTGCTGCTCTCCCCAGGCTGCTCTGGGGTCCTGTCCTCACCTGGAGCCTGGAAGGCATCTGAGTCTGTTTCATAAATGCCTCCAGGGACTGCCCCTGCCTCTGTGTTAGGGCTGGGAACTCTGGGCACACAGCCAAAGGTCACAGATCCCCAGAGCCCCGAGAACGCTGTGTCCACCCCACCTGCCCACCTGGGGGCTGGTTCTGCCACCCATCTGTGTCCTGAGTCACCCCTGACTCAGCAGAGAACTGCACCCCGAGCCAGACCTCAGCAGCTGGGTCCTGGAGGCCCCCTGGGGCCATCGGCACACACCCGTCTTCATGCCAAGCTCCTCCTGCCTGACAGCGGCTGCGTCTGCCTCCCCTCACCCCCGAGTGTCCCAAGTCCACCCGCTCTGCATTCCACGGGGCCAGCAGCGTGGTGGAGCCTCTGCTCTCGGAGGCTCCAGCTGCTGGCAGATGCGTCTGCTGCCCAGGGTGGACCCTGCAGCCCCGGCTCCCAGACACACTTCCAGATTGCTTTCTGAAGGCCCTGGGCCCTGGGCTGCCCTGGTTAGGGCGAGGGGGGTGGGAGTGAGAAGCTGGCACCGTTTCTCTTTCTGGCCGCATCTCCTCCATGGTCCCAGCCCCTGGCAGCCTGGGATGCACCATCCAGCAATGCTGCCTTCCCGCCAAGTCCTCCAGCCCGCCTGTGGTGGCGGCTGCTCCTCACACGGGTCCTCTCACTGCCCCTCCCTGGCCCTTCCTCCCAGCACCTTCACCAACTCCCCCACTGAGCGCCCTCTGACAAGGGTGACCCTGGCCCACGTCCAGCCAGGGATGAAGGGTGGTGAGCGCTGGGCCGGAGGGTACTAGGAGCAGGTGGTGTGCCCTCCCCATCAGCCCATCCCTGGCAGGAGACGGGAAAGGTGTGGAATGAGTCAGCTGTGGTGGGGAGCCCCAGCCCGCACGGCAGGCCTGGAAGACCCCTGACTTTGACTTGAGAATGACTGAAGGGCTCAGGAGGGGCGCCAGGGACGAGAGGGGCAGGTCTGCTTCTACTCCGAGGCTTCAGGCTGCCCACATTGCGTGGCCCCAGCTCTGCCTGGGCAGCTGGTGTCAGTGACATTGGGTTAATGCAGAATTTGCTCCGTTTATTAGACAAAAACTCACCCTAGTGACACAGGCCCCTCAGGTCAGCAGGCATCAGTGGACCCCGCAGAAATGGTCCCATCGGAGTCTCAGATAAGCAGCCAATGATGTCATGGTGAAAGCTTGTCCCATGTGACACTTGGGACACAGTTAGATTAAAACACGATTCACAGTCTCAAGCTCAGACGTTCCTGGCTCTCTGTCCTTGTCAGCAGCCCTGGTACTGCCCCATCCTACTGACCAGAGGCAAGGGCTCGATTTGAATACTGTGCAGTTGGTAAAAACCAGAGAGAGGGTGAGCGGTGGGGTGCAGCCACAGGGAAGGTGGCAGGTGGGGCAGAGGCTTGCCAGGGGCTCCATGTGTGGTACAGGAGGCTGGGGGCACAGAGCCCCAAAACTTCTAGAGCAGGAAAAAATGGAGGCAGCAACCAGATTTGTCTCAACCCATGAAAACAGGGTTGGCATCTGAGGAGGTGGCCCCAGGCACAGTGGGCTCCAGGCTCTGAGTGATCCCTGCCCAGGGATGACGAAGAGGCTTGGAGCTGTTCCCAGTGACAAACCCAGGGAAGCCCACGTGCCGTCCGGCACGCCTGTGCACACCTATTCCCGCTCCTTCTGTCCTGGGTGCCTGCCTGTCCCAGCTCCCACGGGTGCAGGGTGTGTGGAAGCTCAGGCCCCTCGGGCCGGGTTCACTAGGGTCCTCCTGTGTGATTGGTGGTCATGCTGGTGACCTGAGGGGCCTGTGTCGCCAGGATGTTTTCTTCAGAGAAATGGAGCAAATTCCCTGCAGCAACCCAACGTCACTGACACCAGCTGCCCGGGCAGAGCCGGGGCCACACAGTGTCTGCAGCCCGAAGCCTCGGAGTAGAGCCAGGCCTGCCCCTCTCGTCCCTGGCGCCCCTCCTGAGCCCTTCAGTCATTCTCAAGTGAGACACGGGTCTTCCAGGCCTGCCGTGCGGGCCGGGGGCTCCCCACCACAGCTGACTCATTCCACACCTTTCCCGTCTCCTGCCAGGGGTGGGCCGACGGGGAGGGCACGCCACACAGGAGGGCCGGCATGCCTTCCCGCCTGCGGCAGGGGCTCAGGGAGCACAGGCGACACCACGTCTCCATGGAGAAGGAGCACACACAGCGCATGCCACGCTAGCTTTCACCAATACCTCTCGGAAGGTGGCCAAGGCCCACAGAGGCCATGGAGCCCACCTAGACCCACGTGGTACTAGGAGCAGGTGGTGGGAAAGCTGTGGAATGAGTCAGCCGTGGCGGGGGCCCTTGGCCTGCCCCGCAGTCCTGGAAGACCCTGACTTTGACTCGAGAATGACTTTGGGGACCCCCCTGCCCTGGTCTCTGCTGAGGCCCAGAGGGGACTCTAGGTGGGGGCTGGGCCGGGCCGACCTTTCCTCCTCAACCCTCTGCTGGTGGCTTCTTGTCCTGCTCTGGGCTCAGCAGCGGCCCCCTGGAGAGGCCCTGCCACCATCGCCGCCCTGCTGGGCACAGGCTCCCTGCCCTGGCCCCTGCCGCTGGACATGCTGCGCCTCCAAGAAGCTGGGAACCCTCTACCCACTAGAGGCAGAAAACGTGGTTCTCCAGCTGCAGGTGACTAACCAGCGGTGGGCAAGGAAGTGCATGTGGAGATGGCGCAGTCAACATAAGGAGGGCGAGGAGGGGCAGCTGAGGGCCCGCCTGGGCGAGGCAGCCTCGCCGTTCCACGAGTTTGCTGAGCGCACGCGAGGCGTGACCACCAAGAGTGAGCCCCAGTCCACGCGTGTCTGCGTGCGAGATGCCCGCACGTGTGAACACCGGCTTGCGTGCACGAGTGTGAGCGAGTGGGGTTTGGTCACAGCTCCGTCGCAGCCATGGAGCTGGAAACTCCGGGCGAGGCCGAGGACCAGAAAGGGCAGAGGGGGCTCCGACCCACCGGACTCAGTGGAGCCCCGGGTCCGACACGCCGCCTCTGTTCCTCCAAGCTTCGAGAAGCGCAGAGACGCAGGTCCCCACTGGCCAGCAGCTCGGCCCCGCCCCTCCTCGGGCACAGCCGCAGCGACCCGGGCCTGCGCTCAGGGCCAGCAGGGGTGAGGGTCCCGGAGGTGGAGGCGCCGCAGCCTCAGAATCCTCATCCCAGCGCGGAAGGGCGACCCAAATGAATGCACCGAGAGGCCCTAACACCGAGCCCCCAGCACCGAGCCCCCAGCACGGAGTCCTCAGCACCGAGCCCCCAGCACGAAGTCCTCAGCATCGAGCCCCCCCAGCACGGAGTCCCCAGCACGGAGTCCCCAGCACGGAGTCCCCAGCACCGAGAGACCCTAACACCGAGCAGCCAGCACCGAGCCCCCAGCACGGAGTCCTCAGCACCGAGCCCCCAGCACGGAGTCCCCAGCACCGAGAAGCCCTAACACCGAGCCCCCAGCACCGAGCCCCCAGCACCAAGCCCCCAGCATCGAGTCCCCAGCACCGAGTCCTCAGCACCGAGTCCTCAGCACGAGCCCCCAGCACCGACCCCCCAGCACCGAGTCCCCAGCACCGAGCTCCCAGCACGGAGTCCTCAGCACCGAGTCCCCAGCACGGAGTCCCCAGCACCGAGCCCCCCCAGCACGGAGTCCCCAGCACCGAGCCCCCAGCACCGAGTCCCCAGCACCGAGCCCACCTCCCGCCCGCCCCTCCGGCTCCCCACCTGCCGGTCCCCGCGCCTCACCTGGTCCGCTCCTGGACGCGCTCCTCTAGGAGTCCCGGGAAAATGAAAGAGGCGGGAGGGAGGGGCCCGGGAGGAGAAGCGGACCCGACAGGGACCCGCGTCCCAGCTGAGGAAGGAGCCTGTTTACGGGAAGCCGCCGAGTTTCAGGAACTGCCCGGTGTTCACAGCGGACCCCACCGTGAACGTGCTGTTTTCGCGGGTGGCACCGCGCGCACCGAAGGAAGCGGGAGGCGGCCGGGACGTTCGTCCCGCACAAAAACCTGCGGGGCTGCCGGCTCCGCCCCCGGGGCGGCGGGTCTGTGCGCGGGGCGCGCGGAGGGTCGGAGGCCCCGTCCTGGGAGCTCCCGGGTCCCCGCAGCGTCCCGCACTGCGGCCAGCCCGGGGGCAGGAGGCGGGGCGCGGTGGGAGGCTCCGAGGGGCGCAGCCGTCCCGGGTGGGCTGGGCTGGGTCGCGGGGGCCTGGCGGGCGGCGGGCGGGCCCCGTCCTCCGCTGGAACCTGAGGCGGCGGGCGGGCAGGTGCAGGCGGGGTCCGGGATGACGAGGTGTTTTCCGGACGCAGGAGGAGGCCCCGCAGGCTGCAGACACGTGGGTGGGCAAGCCCCCACCGGGCAGAGGGTGGGGGACCCCGGGCGTGCGCATTGCCCCCAGCTTCGTGGGAGGGAGGGGGAAGCAGAACCAAATTCTTCGGAACCCGCACATTGAGGGATGGGCAGAGCAGGGCCAGACTGGGCGCTGAACCGTGGGGCCTGCAGCTCGGCCATCAGACCCGGGGTCCGGAACAAAGGCCCCCAGGATGTGCCAGAGGAGAAAACGTCGCCAGCTTGGCAGGTGAAACACAGCCTGTCATGCTCCCAGCAAGATGGCACCATGGCCAGGGCACAGAGCTCAGTTTCCCCAGCCCCCGCCCTGCGGGAGCCCCCAGCCACCCTGGCTGCCAGCCAGATGCTGGAGAGGGGATTGAAATCCCCCCCTCCCACGTCCTCTGTGCAGAGGGTCTTGTCCCCGGGGCCACATCCCCAGGCACCCACAGCTCCCTTCTCTTTTCCTGCCCACTAGGGTCTCAACTCAGAGGGTCTCCAGTTCCAGCGTGGGGGTCTGGCTGCTTAGGCAGGATCACCCACAGGTGAGGGTCTGGAGGACAGCTGAAGGCTGTCAGGCTTTTGTCCGGTGATGGGAAACCACTGGGAGCTGGAGGAAAACGCATATCCTGATAAAGCCTGTCACGTTGTGAAACTGAAACTAGTTTGTTTATTTTGCTTATTTTGAAAGTAATACAGGCACAGAAACAAAATAGAATAAAACCAGCTGTTGCCTTTTACCCCCCACCCTGGCTTCAGTTCCCGGGGTGGGTCACAGACTGTGTCTCACTTAGCCTTCTGTAAGTTTTTTTGATCCAGACACAGCACAGGCCTCCACTCCAGTTTATTTTTCTTTTTTTACCCTTTTTTCTCCATTGCCCAGGGTGGAGTGCAGTGCTGTGATCTCGCCCACCACAGCCTCCGCCTCCCAGGTTCAACTGATTCTCCTGCCTCAGCCTCCTGTGTAGCTGGGATTACAGGTGCCCACCACCACACCTGCTTAATTTTTTTTTTTTTTTTTTTTTTTTTTTTTTTGAGACTGAGTTTCGCTCTTGTTACCCAGGCTGGAGTGCAATGGCGCCATCTCGGCTCACCGCAACCTCCGCCTCCTGGGTTCAGGCAATTCTCCTGCCTCAGCCTCCTGAGTAGCTGGAATTACAGGCACACACCACCATGCCCAGCTAATTTTTTGTATTTTTAGTAGAAACGGGGTTTCACTATGTTGACCAGGATGGTCTCGATCTCTTGACCTCGTGATCCACCCGCCTCAGCCTCCCAAAGTGCTGGAATTACAGGCGTGAGCCACCGCGCCCAGCCAACTTTTGTAATTTTAGTAGCAAAGGGGCTTTACCATGTCGGCCAGGCTGGTCTTGAACTCCTGACCTCAGGTGATCTGCCCACCTGGACCTCCCATAGTGCTGGGTTTGCAGGTGTGAGGCGCCGTAACCCAGGGCGGCATCTTTCCATTTCTCTACAATGCTGGGATCAGGCACCTTAGGGTGGGTGTGTGGCTCACTCATTCACATCCTGCTCCCTCTGGTGTGTCCTACCTCTGCCTGGCCCTTGAATCACAGCCTCAGCTGCACCAGGCCACATATGGAGTTTCATTTCCTTTCTGTTCTAGGAATTTGTAGATTTCAGTTATGATTTCCTGTTTAACCTCCAAATTATTGAGCAACATATTCTTAAAATCCCTGAGGTCCGGGAGCATTTTCTTTTCTTTTTAAATCTGAGATGGAGTCTGGCTCTGTCACCCAGGCTGGAGTGCAGTGGTGTGATCTCATCTCAGTGCAACCTCCGCCTCCCGAGTTCAAACAATTCTCCTGCCTCAGCCTCCCAAGTAGCTGGGACTGCAGGTGCACATTGCCATGCCAGGCTAGTTTTTTTTGAAACGTATTTTTGGTAGATAATTTTCACCATGTTGTCCAGGCTGATCTCGAACTCCTGAGCTCAGGCAATTTCACCTGCCTCAGCCTCCCAAAGCTGGGATCACAGGTGGTCAGTCACCGCACACCCGGCCATACGCTTCCCTCCTTCCCTCCCTCCCTCCTTCCTTCCCTCCCTCCCTCTCTCTTTCTTGAGACAGTCTCTCTCTCTCCCAGGCTGGAGTGCAGTGGCATGATCTCAGCTAACTGCAACCTCCATCGCCCGTGTTCAAGCGATCCTCCTGACTCAGCCTCCCCAGTAGCTGGGACTACATGTGCGCGCCACCACGCCCGGCTAACTTTTTTTGTATTTTTAGTAGAGACAGGGTTTCACCATATTAGCCAGGATGGTCTGGATCTTCTGACCTTGGGATCCGCCCGCCTCGGCCTCCCAAAGTTCTGGGATTACAGGTGTGAGCCGGCCCCGCCTGCATTTGCTTTTCTTTGTGTTATCAGCTTGTAACTTGATTTCTCTGGGTTCCCTCCCTTTGAACCTTGCCCACTCGCCTGTAGCCTGTGGGGACTCCTCCTAGTGTTCCAACGAAACTTCATCCTCCTTGACCCCGCCCACACCTGCCCACGTGCCACCTCCGGTTCCAGTGGCATAGGAGGCCGCCCACCACCCTGCAGAAGCCACCTCCAACCCACCTGAGATGTCTGTGGGTTCCGGCCTGGATGCATCTTGGAGCCTTCCACCCCCAGCCCATCTCCGGCCCCAACAGGCTGGACCCCTGCTCCCGAGCTGGCCAGGCCCGGACCTCGGCAGGGGACCCAGGACGCTCGGTGGGAGCTGGGGGGATTGTTCCTCTGCTCCTCGAGTTCTCCTGAAAGGACCTCGACCCTCCCAACGTCCTGCTCCCTCTGCCTGCCCGCCCCCTCCCTGCGGACCCACAGCCGGCCCCCTCGAAGCCTCCTGGGAGAGGCCTGGCAGGTTTTGTGCTAACCACTCACTGGCCGGAAGGGTCTCATTCATGGGTCCTCACGGCGGGAGTGTGTCTCTGGCTGCGGGAGCAGTGCTCCCTGCCGGTGTCCCTCAAGGTATCAGTGGGGTAGGTTAGGTCTATTCTTTTTTTTTTTTTTTTTTTTTTGAGATGGAGTTTCGCTCTTGTTGCCCAGGCTGGAGTGCAATGACGCCATCTCGGCTCACCGCAACCTCCGCCTCCTGGGTTCAGGCAATTCTCCTGCCTCAGCCTCCTGAGTAGCTGGGATTACAGGCACGCGCCACCATGCCCAGCTAATTTTTTGTATTTTTAGTAGAGACGGGGTTTCACCATGTTGACCAGGATGGTCTCGATCTCTTGACCTCGTGATCCACCCGCCTCGGCCTCCCAAAGTGCTGGGATTACAGGCTTGAGCCACCGCGCCCGGCCAGGTCTATTCTATAGTTGCCAATTTTTATGGGCTTGAGCTATCAGTAATGAAGAAACATAGGTTGAATGGCCCCCTATGGTGGGGGCTTAGCAGCCTCTTGTGGTTTGAGAAATTTTTTTTTTTTTTTTTTTTTTTTGAGACGGAGTTTCGCTCTTGTTACCCAGGCTGGAGTGCAATGGCACGATCTCGGCTCACCGCAACCTCCGCCTCCTGGGTTCAGGCAATTCTCCTGCCTCAGCCTCCTGAGTAGCTGGGATTACAGGCACGCACCACCATGCCCAGCTAATTTTTTGTATTTTTAGTAGAGACAGGGTTTCACCGTGTTGGCCAGGATGGTCTCGATCTCTTGACCTCGTGATCCACCCGCCTCAGCCTCCCAAAGTGCTGGGATTACAGGCTTGAGCCACCGCGCCCGGCTGGTTTGAGAAATTTTTAATCACATATTTGGAGGGTTTTTTTTTTCTTAAAGAGATGGGGTCTCCTGTAGTTGACCAGGCTGGAATGCAGTGGCCATGCACTGGCAGGACCATGGCTCATGTAGCCTCGCCCTCCTGGGTCGAGCGATCCTCCCGCCTCGCTTTCTGAGCGGCTGGGACCGCAGGCAGCACAGATGAAAAAGCTTTCCTGAAATGGTCCTTGTTCTTGTCCTGTGATAATCTAATTCTAATTTATCTATTTTATAAAATTTGGAAGTTTTAAAATGTGAGGCTAATTTTAAATTCTTACCCAGCACGTTTCCGCTTCTGGAGGAATCCACACCTTAGCTTGTTATTTTCCTCCTGAAAAGGCTGCTTTCTCCCGCATCCAGTCATGTGGCCCTGAGCCCTCGCCTGTCAATGTTCTTGGTGTTTCTATTGGGATTTTACTGTCTTTGTAGCTTAATTTTATTTTACTTTAATTAATTAATTTTGGGGGCGTGGAGTGTCACTGTGTCGCCCAGGCTGGAGTGTAGTGGCACGATCTCAGCTCACTGCAACCTCCACCTTCCAAGCTCAGGTGATTCTCCTGCCTCAGCTTCCTGAGTAGCTAGGATTACAGGTGCCCACCACCACACCTGGCTAATTTTTGTATTTTTAGTAGAGACGGATTTTGCCATATTGACCAGGCTGGTCTCAAACTCCTGACCTCGTGATCCACCCACCTCGGCCTCACAAAGTGCTGGGATTATAGGCATGAGCCACCGTGCCTGGCTGACCGTTACAGCTTAATTTGAGAGAGAATGACATTTTTAGGGCTGGATGTCATGGCTCATGCCTGTTGTCCTAGCACTTAGGGAGGCTGAAGTCAGAGAATCTCTTGAGACCAGCGATTTGAAGACCAGCTTAGACTAACCCCATCTTCACAAAAATAAAGTAACGAGCTGGGCATGGCGGCCGGTGCCTGTAGTCCCAGCTACTTGGGAGGCTGAGGCAGGAGGACTTCTTGGGCCCGGAAGGTCAAGGGTACATTGAACCAAGATCAGGTCACTGCACTGTGGCCTGAGCAACAGAGTGAGATCCTGTCTCAAAGAAAGAGGGAGAAAAAGAAAGAAAGAACATTAATTCTTCCTAGTTAGTGGATAGGAATGCGGGGTGGTCATAGGAGAAATGGGAAATATCTCGCAGAAAAGCAAGACAGGAGCTATTAGGATTAGCCACACAGGCAGGGATGAGCCGGGACAGATGAGACTCTCGAC